ACTGACTGTATCCTACAGCTGCTGCCACAGTCGAGGCTATTTCCACTGTCCACACCATTCAGAAGTCTTCGATCCTCAGCAACACCTTAACATGCTGTCACAAGTGACCATACAACAGTCGGTTGTTCATATTAAGGTCAGAAATCTCACACTGTTTCCATGCTAGTATCTGGCCCACCAAAAGAGCAAAAGCAAATGTTGGATGAACTATTATTTCTTCTTATTGAATCCATGCATCCTACTCTTGCTGATAAAAATCAATGTGAAGATTAGTAACTAAACCATTGCATAGGCTGCAGTCTCCATTGCCTCTCTGTTCTATGGCTGCTGAAGCTGTAGCTGTACTGCAAGCACAGCTAAAGAGGCTGCCCAGGAAACTGGTGATCCAACTGTGTAAATCTAATAAGAGACCATGAAAAGAAACCCATGCTTCAGTGAAGCTGGAGGCACGAATCAGTGGTTAAAAGTATTGGCTGCTCTTCCAGAGGATGTGAATTCAATTCCCAGCAGATACACGGCAGCTTACAACCATCTGTAACTTTAGTTCCAGAGGATCTGAAGGCCTCTTGTGGCCTCCACGTGTACCAGGTATGAATGTGGTGCACAGACATACATGCAGGCAAACTTCCCACACATGTAATGGATTTATTTTATTTTTTGGTTTTGTTTTGAAGACAGGGTTTCTCTGTGTAGTGCTGACTTTCTGGTTAGTCACATAAGTCATCGCTTGCCTAGCAACTATCAAACAGATCTCCAGGAGAAAAGAAGACACTGTACATAAATCATAGACCACACACAGAGATTTTAAGCACAACAAACCATGCTTATCAAACAGGGAATAGAGCTAATAGTTCAAATGCCAAAATTCAAAGATACCAGCCATGGGCCAAACTCACAAGCAAACCCTGCAAAGACAGTGGCCTTGGATCTGTTCTCTTTTTTTACACAAAGTGGTTTCTAAGTACTTTCCAAAACAAGTGTTTTTAGGGAATCCAGGAAAGTATCAATTAACTTTATATTATACTGTGGTCTTGACAACCCAAGCAATTATGATGAAAAACAAAACTAACAAAGTTACAATTAAACAATATCAAGGTCTCGGTATGCATTGATTTGTTTAGTAGGAATCAAATCCAGGGCCTTGTTCATGATAAACAAGTACTGTACCAAAAACACTCTACCACTGACCTACATCCAGGTTCCCATAATGTTCCTTTAATTTTTTTCTTTACATTTATCTATCATGTACGTCTGCCTATTGTCTTACTTACCTTGCTGTGTTTTTCTGACTGACCAATGAACAATAAAAAACAAGTTGAGTTCAAAGTACACTTCTCAGTTGCTGAGTGAGAAAGAAAGCTACACTGCTAGAGATGCAGGGCAGTCTTAAGACTCATCCACTTCAGGAGCTGCAGGGATGGCTTAGGTGTTAGAGGCATAGGCTGGTCTTCCAGAAGACCTGGGTTTGATTCCCCACCCACATGGTGGCTCATAAACACCTATAACACTAGCTCCAGGGATTCTAATGCCTTCTCCTGGCCTCCATGGACACACCATGCAAGTGGTGCACGAGCATATACACAGCCCAAACACTAATACATATAATATAAAATAAAAAACTTGAAGAATCACCCAGTGCAGATTGGCAAGATAACCAGTGGCCACTATACAGGTACTTGCCACCAAGCCTGAAGACCTGAGTCCAGAACCCACATGGTGGATGGCAAACCAGCTCTCACAAATTCCAACTCATCCAATCCCCACTTCTCTAAATAAATGTAAACATGTTTGTTGCTGTTGCTTTAAGGTGTATTATTTTTATGTGCATTAGTGTTTTGCTTATGTGTGGATCTGTATAGCATGTACATGCAATACCCATGGAAAACAGAAGAGGGAATCAGATCCCTAGAACTGGGGTTACAGACAGTTGTGAGCCACCATGTGGGTGCTGAGACTTGAACCTGGATTCTCTAGGAAAACAGCAAGAGCTCTTAACTGCTGAAATATTTCTCAATGGTTTTTATTCATGCCTTTTTATTGATCTTCCTAACACTCCTACCAAGTACTGTTCTGTGTTTTGGTTTTTGGTTTTTTTGCAAGAGAGACTCAACATGTAGAAGTGACTTGTCCAGTTGTATTTGTGGAATGACATTCACCTTCAACCCCAGCACGTGGGAAGCAGAAGCAAGCAGGCGGAGCTCTGTGAGCTAAAGGCTACTTTAGTCTACTCAGGAGTTCCAGAAAAGCCATATTGTGAGATTGAGTTATATTGTGAGATCCTGTCTCCACCAAAAGGGGGGTGGGAAGAAGGGATGTTTGCTCAGTTCATAAAGGCAGATGTGGTCAAGTCTGAGTCTAATCTCTGGGACCCACATGGTGGGAGGAGGTAACTGATCTCTGCACGCTTGTCCTGTGACCCCCACATGCCCTTCATAGCATATAACAAACAAACAAAGGTGAGGGTTGGACAGAGAGCTCAGCTGTTAGGAGCACTAGCTGCTCTTCCAGAGGACTCAGGTTTGATTCCCTGCACCCATGATTCACATGATTCCAGTTCCAAAGGATCCAATGATGCCCTCTTCTGACCTCTGATGGCACTGACACATACGGTGTACAAAACACTCATACACATAAAACAAAAAACAAAAGTTTCAAAATACAGATAATAAGGGATACAAATTTACATGGTCTTACCATTCAAACTCATATTCTTACACACACACACACACAGAGCTGTCTTTCCCCCTTGAGTCAGGATCTTGATACATTGCCTAAGTTATACCACAATTCCTAAATCATCTTTTTTTTAATTTAAAAATGCTATCATCATTTATTTGTGCTAACATGTGCTCATGAGTGTAGGTGCCCATGGACACCAGAGGAGGGCTTTCTGATGTCCTGAAACATCAGATGTTCTGATGTACTGGAGTTAATTTCCAGTAGTCCTAAGCTGTCAGGCATGGGTACTGAGGTACCAACTCCCTGAAAGAGCAGCAACTCCTCAGCCATCTCTGCAGATACTGGGCTGTTTCTGGGTAGTGTGGACCACAGGTGCATGCTACCATGTCCAGTTTATATTCATTCTTTAGTCAGAAGTCAGGCTGGCATTAGATCATCCAGAATCTGTTCACCTTGCAGGTAAGTGATAAAATCAAATTCGAAAACTTATAAGGTGGGCGGTGGTGGCACACGACTTTAATCCCAGCCCTTGGGAGGCAGAGGCAGGCGGATTTCTGAGTTCGAGGCCAGCCTGGTCTACAGAGTGAGTTCCAGGACAGCCAGGGCTACACAGAGAAACCCTGTCTCAAAGGAAAAAAAAAAAAAAGAAAACTTAAAAGGTCAAAGACCAGGTCACTCTGCCTTTTAGCTTTACCCATCAGCAGGCAGGTGCACATGGCACCCAGGTTCTTTCCAGAAAGCTGAATGGACAGACAGCCCCTCCCTTTGGTGCTAATGTATTGTGCTGAATCTCTTCACACATTCCTGGGAGAAAAGCAGCTCTGTCTGTTATTGTTCGTCCACGTTGTGCCTGGCCTTACTATGTAAACTCATCAAAGCGTCACATGTTTTATAGATTAGCAAATAGGCTGTGAGCATGTAAGTTTCTTCCTCAAAACTACACACAGAAATTGTAAAGGATCAAACTCGGCTCTGACTAAAATCAGTCTTCTTCCTATCACAACATCCTTTTGTTGTTTTGTTGTTTGTTTTTTGTTTTGTTTTGTTTTTGTTTGAAAGTGGTTAGCCTCCTTAATCCTGGGTTCTACTCTGCACCACCCATGCAGGTCACCTCCTATGTCAGCTCCAAGCATACCTTTTATCTTCCAAGATAAGGACTGGCCTGTCTTTCTCTTCTGAAGCAATCCTGAATTTAGTTCTCTATTAACAGTCCATTGCCCGGTCCTGCCACTGCACCTTCTCGAAACTCATCATCTTTTGATCCAGTCTAACGCTACCATCTTTTAAATAATAATACGGTTTGCAGATCAGAAAGCACTTCCAGATACAGTGCTTTAGCTGTCCTTCTCCATAATCCGATGAGAAGGGCAAAAAGTGTGTAGGAAGAGAAGGGGGGGCGGGGATCCAAAGATACTTCTCCAAGGTCACTCAATGAAAAAACGAAAAATCAGGACCAAAGGCCCAGATTGGATTCTTGGTCTTTGGCTCATCTCGCCACGCCTCAGAGGCAGTCACGACGCTGCCACAACCCCCGCACCTGAGATGTCACAGCTGTAGTCGCCCGCCCGCGGCTCACCGCCTTCCCACTCCCACCTGTACCAGGTCGCCCTGCGCCCTGTCGACTTCCCGACTCCCCTCTTCACCAGACCCGTCTCCTACCGACCTCCCACCTCGCTGCCACCTCTATTCAGGAGCCCCTCTCTAGTCGCAAGTAGCTTCCTCGACCCTAGCGGCGTCCCGCCGCTTCACCACCTCAGGCCCCTCCTCTGTCAGTCTGCTGAGTTACCTTCTCTAAGGATGCAGGTCTCTGCACAGCCAGGGAGCGGGCCAGTGAAAGCACTGTGTTGAAATAAAAGCCTCGGGAGGTGCTGGAGCCAGAGCTGGACCCCGAGCCGCCACCGCTGCCACCACCGCCGCCGCCGCCGCCGCCGCCGCTGCCTCCCCGGGCCCCAGCAGCCGCCATCGTAGCGCGCGCCCCGGCGCAGGCGGCTGGGCTGGCAGCTCTGGGACTGCCACCGCCAGAACTTACGGCGCAGACGCAGAGGCGGCCGACTCTCGGGTCACGTGACCTCCTCCTCTTCTTCTTCTTCTTCTTCTTCTTCTTCTTCTTCTTCTTCTTCTTCTTCTTCTTTTTCTTCTTCTTCTCCTTCTTCTTCTTCTTCTTCCTTCTTCTTTCCTTCTTCTCTTTCTCCTCCTCCTCCCCCCCCTCCCCTCCCCCTTTCCCCCCCCCCTCCCGTGCACTGGGTGGGGCCTGGTTCCCCTCTGCGGTTCCCGGCAATGGTTGGCTCTGGAGGCGGGGCTCTAGCACAGTGCTGGCGGAAGTAGTGCGCGCGGCGGCCACATTGTGTCCGCCCGCCGGCGCTGGGCTACCGACTCCTCTCCCAGCTGCCTCTCTTGCTTCGTAGGTTCAGGCTGTTGCCGGCACCATGTCTGGCTATCCTAAAAGCTATAATCCTTTCGACGATGACGTAGAAGACGAAGACACCCGGCCGGCGCCGTGGAAGGACGCCCGCGACCTACCGGACGGCCCTGACGCGCCCATTGACAGGCAGCAGTACCTGAGACAGGAGGTGTTGCGCAGGGCCGAGGCTACTGCTGCCAGCACAAGCAGGTCCTTGTCCCTCATGTATGAATCCGAGAAGATCGGAGTCGCCTCTTCCGAGGTGAGCCTGGGGTAGGACTGAGCTAAACCGGCCAATCAATGCACTATAAAAACAGGATGAGTAAATGTTTTCCTCACGATCTTTGGGATTTTTCTAATTGCCTACCATAAGTTCTTGGACGTAGTGTAAAGAATTATGTTTCAAGATCACCTGATGTTTACCTCGGGAAGTTTCTTTATCTGTTATTCCGCATGGTTGATTCCTCCCTCGCTGCCCTGCCCCTATGTCTAGTTAAAAGGTAAGCTCCAAATAATGTTCTATCTGAGGGTCAGAACTGAGAGTAAAAATGCCAAAGTGCAGGCCTGTATTGAGGAAGTAGTGTCTGTTTCATTTATATATAACTTGTTGGGCAGAAGCTTCAGGCTGTCCCTCTCTAGTGACCCAGTTAAAGTGTAGGCGGTGTGTGCTTCAGGTACCAGGTGGTGTCTGAAGCACTGATGCAAAGAGAGCCTTGTGTTCTTCCCACATCCTTGACCACTGTTCACCTTCCTCGTCGGACTATTTAAATCCCTTTGCTTGGACTCCTGCTCAGGAAACCAGATCCTGAATTGAGTCTAGACTCTTACAGATCATGTGCTATTGTGACAGCTCTTTCCATCCATAGAAAATTTCAGCAATTAGGAACTTTGCTTTGTCTTTAATTTACCTGTATTTGAGTATGCACACGTTTGGGGGTGTCCCCTAAAGCCAGAAGAAGGTACCAGGGAATCCCTTGGAGCTGGAGTTGACAGATGGGAGCTTCCCAGTGTGGGTGCTGGGAACAGAGCTGGTCTTCTGAAACCGCTTCAGACCTTTTCTTTTTGAGGAGTTTTGGCTTGGTGGACAGTACCAGTGAAGCCCAGGCTGGTCTGGAACTTAGAATTCTTGGGTCTCAATCTTTATGATACTGAGATTACAGGCATGTACCATCTTCTCCAGCATAGAATAAAGACTCCAGATTGCTCCTAAGTCTACTAGTGAAACAGCTGTTTTGGCAGAAGAAATTACTGATATATCAGCTAAGAATAGTCTTAAGCATTTTACAGTTTTAAAATGTAAAAGTTGAAACAAAATATTGTCTTCCTCTACCAGTCTTCATCTCTGACCATGGACTTGGGCAGATCTGAGGTGTACTGCTTATCTTCTCATATAGTCATCTCTGTTGTTTCTGCATTGCCGCTGTTTTGTATGCTCTGCCTTCTCCTGATTCCCTGTTGTAGTCTCCCTGACTACTGATGTATGTCTGCCTCTGGGAAGTTGGGCTTCTGTGTACTGGATTTGTAATGTTCCAGTCCAGATCAACTGGAGTCCTGCGGGTCTTGGTGAACAGGTCACTTTGTATTGAGATAAATGATAAGTTCTCATAGTGCAGCCAAGTGTAATCTAGATTGGCCTTGAACTCAAGATCCTCCTCCTTCAGCCTCCAGAGTGCTGAGATCATAGGTGTTCATCAGACGTAAATGCCAGGCTGTGAACAGGTAGGTCCTCTTGAAGAACAGAAAGCACTCTGACCTGCTGAGCCATCTCCCTAGCCCCAAAAGAGAACCTATTTTTTTTTTTCTCAATAGTATCACTATGTAATCCTGTTTATCCTCCAACTCTATGTAGACTAGTCTGACCTCAAACTCAGCCTGGGAGTGCTGAGGTTCAAGCCACCATACCGAGCACTTGTATTCTTTTTAACTTTAAGGCGAGATATTCTTTACATATTGGCCTGTATATTATTTAGTAGTATTGAAAGATCTTTCATAGTTATATACAATGAGGGGTGGTTTAGGGGTGGGGGAGACAGGCCATATTATATTCCATTAGATAGATGACTTCTGTTTGTGCAGCACCTCCTAATAATGAATACTATATTTGCTTCCTACATGAACATCCCCTTCCTGGGACACTCTGCCCCTCCTGGAGCAGTATAGCATACTACAGTGATCTTTAATTGAGCCTGGTTTCTCAGTTCAGCAGAGCCAGCAACAAACAGTAGACGAGGGTTTCAGCTGATGTTGCACCAACACAGTGGAAAGAGACTGGTGTTTGGTAATACTGACACAATGTGCTTAGCTACCTTGGCTAACACATGCTCCTCGGAGGCCTACTCATCTTTCCAGTGCCTGTCACTGAAGCCACACTGGGCATTCAGTTCAGAGAGGTCAGAGAGACAGACAGCATCCCTCATAACCGGAGGAGTGGCAAGGCAAGTTCCTCACGTTTTCCCCAGTTAGAGTAAATAGATCCATTGCCACAGATGTCCTCTTGATTTCTAGAAAGCTATTGGGAGCAGCCATGCCCAGTGAGGGCTTTCCAACCAGACCTACTCCTCCAGAGGTGTTCATGGTGACTGATAACACCCAATTTCTGTTTCTGAATCCACTCCATGTCAGGGTAATCTCTGGCTCACACAGAACCCAGCAAGCTCCATGTTTCCTTGGCTAGCCAAGCTAAAATCTGTTAGTATGGATGTATATTATCTTGAGAGAAATAATGAGAAATTTCTCTTTCTTCCTTTTTTTTTTTTCCTCTCTTTTCCTTTGTGAAATAGAATTTGCCCAGGCTCTCATCCAACTTGCTGATCCTCTTAAGTTCGGCTCTGAATTGCTGGAATCCCATGCCTGTGTTACCACACCTGCTTAATCCCCAGTCTAGGATAATAAGTTTCAGAGTTCTGGATTTAGTGCTCTGACCCCAGATCTCCATGTACTTATCAGTTAATAGCTAAGTTTAATTTCAAACTCACTATGAGGCCTACCTGATGTTACAGGATGCCTCAGCTATAGATTGTAGTTGTGATCTGGGGGGCTCCACATCATTTGCTAGGTGTTTCCTGCTGGGTCTCATGGGTCCTACCCACACCCTTCTATGCTCACCACACAGTTCCACTTCCCTCAGTTACTCCAGCTGCCTACACTAGCTGCTCTCTTCAACTCAGGCATTTACCCCACCCACCCTTGGGACTCCCTGTTCTACTCCTTAAACCAGGCCAGGAACCCTTGTTCAGGGTTCTCTATGTGTAATAATCTTTTTATTGTGTTTCCCATGAAACTAAGCTCAACGAAGCAAGAATGGATCTGCCTAAGTTTTCAGCACCACAGCGTTGTTAGCAAGTTAGAAAAGCAGATTAGACTTGCTCTTACCCTATGTGGACTGTATGAGCCTTCAGGGTGGGCTTTGGGCTTGGGTAGTCCCCTGGCACTAGAAGAATGCTTGGCAGAGAGTGGGCTCTCCTGAGTGTCTTGGAGAAAGTCCCACCAACTGTCCCATGCTCAGGCAGCAAGAACCCTTTGATTCCCTGACTCCTCACAGTGCCCCCAGAGCAGAACCTGTCTATGTGAGCGTTACCTCGCTTCAGGAAGTCTGAGCCCTTGCATGGTCATTGTTTCCCTGGTTTCCCCTTCCCTTTGCTCTGAGGAGTATTGCACAGAAAAGAGGAGTTGAGGAACTTTCTCTGTGGTTCCTTAGCAACCTAAGCATATCCTTTCTCGTCTTTTTCCTGTTTAAATTTAGAAAACACTTGGGGCTTGAAGAAGTTGGGGAGATTACCTGTAATCTTCTCACAAATAGTCAATTGGCCCGTCCATTCTTCTTATGGAGGGCATTTTGTGTTTTCTTGTTCTTTTTTTGAGACAGGGTCTCATGTAGCTCAGACTCTCTGTATATGAGGGTGACCCTGAACTCCTGACTCTCTGCCTTCTCCTCCCAGGAGCTAAGATTACAGACATGTCCCACTCCCCCCACCTTTTTTTTTTTTTTTTTTTTTTACAGAGAGCTAGGATTAAGATCCCAACATCACGTAAGCCAATATCAGGCAAATACCCGTACGAGCTGAGCCACATTCCCCACCCAGGAGTTTCCACTGCTCACACCCACCCTGGGCCTCATTCTTACAGATGCAGATGAAATGGTCAACACAGCCCACTTCTGAGCTATCGGAGCACACCTCCAAACCCAGAGCACTTGAGGTCTGCCTTCAGAATGGCTGGGGTACAGAGTCTTGGCCAGTCTGTCCTCACAGGAAAGACTGAGGAAGCACTATCAGTTCTCTTCTGTCACGTTCCCTGACACACCCCCTTTCCTCCTTGGCTGTCCAGAGGTCAGAAGCACAGTCATTTCCTGTCCCTCTTAGGAGAGGATTTTAGCCAAGGAAGCTTTTGCTTTGCTGGTCTCGTGTTCTCCAGTGAACAGATTCTAGAGTATAGAAACTTTCAGAATCCCACTTTAGCCTCCAGCCTCATGTGGTGTCCTGTATAGGCATCCAGGGCTGTGGATGTACCCAGGCAGTAGAGCGCTCAGCTCTCATGCATCAGCCCTGAGCTTGAACTGCAATACTGCAGAGCAGCACTGATAAAGAGAAGAAAAGGAGGCGGGGGACAGAAATAGCACATGTATGTCACAGAAATCATTTACCCAAAATGCATTGCTCTGGCTTCTTCCACAACAGCCTGTGAGGATGATATGCTTGGAGACTCTGAAGATAAATTTTTCTTTATCCTTTTTCTTCTGAAAACTAGCTCTCGCAAGTTTGTTTGACACAGTCCAAAATTTTTTTTTCTTTTGACTTAAAAATTTTTAAGTTAGGGATGATGGTACATGCCTTCAGTCTCAGCAGAGGCAGATGGATCTCTATGAGTTCAAAGCTAGTATAGGCTAAATAGCAAGTTCTAGACCAGCCAGAGCTGCATAGTGAGATCCTGTCTCAAAAAATGCCTAGGGCTGGAGATAAAGTAAATAGAGTTTAAAGATAAATTCAAACCAGTATTTTGCCTATGTATTATATCTCTATACACTCCATTTCTGAATTTCACCCACTAAACAGAAACCCAGGTTACACATTGAGTTAAAAATGTTAACGCCATGTTACAAATGGGTCTGTGGGCCCAAGAAAATTACTGCACAATCCAAGGTATTTCATCAAGACAAAAGGATTTACTTTTGCAGAAGGGTGTGTAGCCATACCAAGTCAAGCAGGCAAGTCCACCTCAGAGTGGTCCTGCAAGGTTTTTATTCCTAAAGCAAAGGGGTCCTGC